TCAGCAGCAGCTTTCTGACTTCTATGTGCATACATACACTTTAACTGTCATCTTTTATCCAGTAAGTCATTTGTTTCTCACCTATGTATACTGTGCTGCTAATTTTCCAATATGTGGATATTCTGTGGATATTGTGAATGATAAACTACAAATGCTTTTTTTTTTCTTTTTGGTACTGGGTACAGAACCCAGGACCTTCGCACTGAGCTACATTCCCAGTCTATCCTGTTTTTCTCTCTATATTTTTATTTTGTGATAGGGTTTTGCTAAATAACTAAATTGCCCAGGCTTGGCTTCAACTTTTGATCCTCCTGCCTTAGCCTCCCAGAGTACTGGGATTGTAGGCATGCACCACCATGACTGCCTTGTGCATGCATTTTTGACTTCTTCAGTTCATAGATTTTGGTGGTGGATTTTCTCAGTTGCTTTCATGGGTGGGTCTGAGATTTTTTTAAAAGTAGATTCCTCATACTTAAGAATGGTAGGATCCACTGATCTAAAGTATTGTAATTATGTGTTCATATTGGTACAAAGCACTTCTCACGTAATGTAAAATACTATATAGTAGCTATTGTGTCATCTATGATGGGTATTTAGAAAGAGGCAAGGAATACAGCATTTTGATTTGACTTTAGCAAAATAGCAACACTGGGTAAATGCAAAGGAGTTTGTAAAAAGTTTGTTTACTTAAAACTATTACATTATTTGGCTATTTAATTGTATGGGGAAAAGGCTGTTGCTTAGTAAAAACATGTACATTTATTTTTGGAACCATATCAGTGCTATTGTTTTATAAGTAAGTGTTTACAGGCTGGTCCCAGTACCCAGAAGGAAGCTCCTTGCCTCCATCCCAGGCTCCTAGGGCAGAGAAGCTGAGCTGGTCCCAGAACCCAGAAGGAAGCTCCCCTGCTGCCATCCCAAGCTCCTAGGGCACAGAAGGTGAGCTGCGTGGGCGCCAGAAGCACCCCCCCACATGGAAATGAGAAGACACGTAAACAAGCCTCAAAAACAGACTTCTGGATCACCTACAGCAACCCCAAAGGGAAAC